GTGAGTGTCACGCCAGATGCACTGAGAGTGTGAATGCGTGAGTGTCACGCCAGATGCACTGAGAGTGTGAATGCGTGAGTGTCACGCCAGATGCATTGAGTGTGTGAATGCGTGAGTGTCACGGCAGATGCGTGATAGTTGGCAACCCTGCCAATAGCTCCCCTGTTCTGGGGGCAAATATCAGTCCTGGGGAGGGAAGCCCCCTAAGCCATTTTGCGTTTGTACTTGATCTTATGGCAGGTTGCACAGCTGAGAGAATGATTTAATGTCCAAACAGAATGCAAACAGAACAGCCCTAACGGCAGCCTTGGCAGCAAGCTTCTAATATGAATCTGGGGTCATGTACATCAAAATAATGTTTTACAGCTAGTGCTTACCACGCAGTCGTAATGGTTGGGTTTCTGAACTCCAACACGTATTGAAATATCCAGAAGAGCCCTAGTCTACAGGGAAATCTACACCTCTCTCGTGGATGTCTGGCTGGATAGAGCCACCTCAATGGGCTCATCTCCACAGGTTACATTCAGGTAGCCAGAGGCAACCATGGAAAGAGCTTCAAGTTCACTCATCAGAGAGAAATGAAAAAATCTGTCACTGTTCTCATTGCATGAGAGTCTGAATGCGTGAGTGTCACACCAAATGCATGAGTCTGAATGCATGTCACACCAAATGCATGAGAGTCTGAATGCGTGAGTGTCACACCAAATGCATGAATCTGAATGCATGTCACACCAAATGCATGAGTTTGAATGCATGTTACACCAAATGCATGAGAGTCTGAATGCATGAGTGTCACGCCAGATGCGCCCAGCTAAAAATATCCCCCATCCCAAGAACGTCCTGCAGGAAAAAGACGTTTCTCCTCTCCTGACATGATGGAGAGTTTGGAGTTTCGATGTCCGTTGAGTGGTACAGCCACATGTGTGCATGCTTGCGGCTGCGTACCCGTCAGTCCATGGCCTCCAAACAAGAGCATTACTTTCACAGATTAGATGCAGCAAATATTCACCTAAGCATACCTATGCTATACTGTGCCTTTACAGCCAAATTTAATGTTTTTATCATTGAAGCAAACCTTCAACGTTTGATTTCTGTCTAGAGGCTCTTAGCCAGGGCAGCGTGAACGAAGTAACACCACGAAACTGTCGCTGACAGCAGTCGATATAACTGACTGAATGTCCCCTGTAAATCTGCTAAGTAAAAAAACTACAAAAGCACAACCTAATGAGTTAAACAGCAACAGCGTTGTCTTAAATTCTTCAAATCTGGCCTCCTTCACCCGAGACGATGGGTGAGAACTGTTCCATGTTTTATAACAAAAAAAAAGAATACAGCTGAACTCAGGAAGGCTTATTGACAGACGACTAAACCTGCCAGTATGACACTATATTGCCCCAGTAAAAGGATCCATAAAAAGTGTGTAAGCAACACTGTGTGTGCCTGCGTGTAAGCTTCAGCACCCTGTGTGCGTCTTTAGGTGTGTGCGCGCTTCACTCTCCGGGTGCGTACGTGTGTACTTGTGTGTGTAGCTTGGGCCTCAGGGAATCTTCTGGCCAAGCTTGTGGAAACGCCAGAGAGCTGCCAGCAGAGAAGACCAATGCCGCAGGTGCTCCTGTAACTCTTATTTACTGCACTGACATGACACACAAACACAAGAGCGTAAATATTAATGGTGACCTGACACCGTGGGACCGGGCTTTTTGCACGCCGTTCAGCTAATCCGTCGGAAAAATACACTCGAGTTGTAGTAACTCATTGCAGATGCTCAGAATCACTCATTTACAAAGATAGAAAAATTCTCAATGGTACTAGTAAGTATTCGCAACTGTGCAAGCAACTGTGCATCATCAATGGTCCAAGCAAGGCAGAGAGTCTTCCAGAACATTCTGTTTGGTTAGCAACCCTCTTCCTTTTAAAACAATTTCCTTGCAGAATGTTAATCCAGTGCTAGTCTCATGCATGAAGGTGTACACAAGCCTCATTAATGTTCAAATAAGAAAGACGGCAACAAAACCTAAACTCAAACTAAATTCTGCAGAATTATACAGAGGCCTTGTACGAAAGGCCTAAGCAGTCGAATAACTGTTCAGGAAGGATCTCCAGAAGATGGACATTCATAGCAATTTCCCTTTACACCAGGTGCAAATGTGCTCAGTGTGAGTCCCGTCTCAGTTACATGTTAAATACAGCGCATCTAGCCTGAGAAGACAACAGGAACCAAAGGTAATTTATGTTGTACAATGTCCATTTGTCATGGCAGACATTTTGGCTTGCAAGCCATAGAGCAAAGTGATGTATCGGGAAGACTATGAAGAGTTATAAATCAAGGCCCAAAATGAGTTAGATATCATGACTGGTCCAGTTTCAGATTAATTAATAGAGGTACCTTTCCATAACTTGGTTCTCATAACTCCTGTTGCTCACTGACCTTGAACATCTTAGCAAGAGATTGTCCCTCACGCATGAAAGCATTGTGTGTTGGCATTGCTCATGTCACGTAAATGTAGTGCCGTGTCCCAAACTACAGTGACCGTGGTTTTTTTGGGGCCGACTGAATTATCTCGCCATATCCTTAAAGGGAAGTCCGCTGACTTTAGTAGGCGAACTCGAAAGATCCATCAACAAGGATGAAGCAACGACAGTTCGATTAATTTTCCATGATCTGTTTCCAGGAAACACAAGTCCTGAAATTCAATTTTTATTCTCACCTCCCATGGATCAGGAAGCTGCCCAGCAGAAGTCTAATGCATTATTCCCAGCAATCTCATATCTAAATCCTACTATGTTATACTTAGTGCAAAGGAATTTCAGTCCAGAACATATAAAAGACTGCTCAGTTGCCCAAAACACTCTAATTATTCATCAGAAAAATACAGACAAATACTTATCATCAGATGATATTTTTGGATTTTTTTGGTATATTGTAACATGCTCAATAAACAAAGAAAGGATTTCAAGATCTTTTGCTTGAATAACATAAAACAAAGCATATTCCCTCTCCTACTTCTGTATAATCTGAAGCTATACGTTGAAGCTTGAGCAGGAGACAAAAATTTAAGGAGCGAATGATCAAAGTCTGTGTTTAAAGTTATGTTAATGGTGTTGGGCCATAATCCTGGTTCAGCGCCTGAACTTTGTTGGATTGTTGGTGGAAGCATTAGAACTGTTTATCCTTGAGGAGCTGCTGATTACAGCGGGCGACTGAATGACGGCCTGCATTAGTTTCTGTGGAGAATAATTATCGCATGGTTTTTAGCCGTTTTACCGTAAACTATGGACAACGACACCCCCATTTTCTCTAAATCACAGATCACCTTGCATACTGTACTGCTGAGCTAAAGTCATTTTTCCCTGCAGGCAGTACATACTGTAGGTTTTCTGCTTGATGGGAGTAGTCATCGATTTGGCCTTGTTTTAAAACAGTGTTGATGAATCCCCCAGACGCCGTGATTACGATGAATCACAGAACTCAGGGTAGGAGAGCCATTTAATAAACCATTTACCCAGCCAGTACAGGCTTTCAGTCTTGCTGAAGTTCTGTTATGTGCGGCAGTCCTACTGAATGCTCTTGTATTGCAGCTGACCGCAGCCATATGTTTGAGTGTGTTAATGACCATAATTAGCAAACCCAGATTAGCCTCTGTCAAAAACCCATAGTTTACAGAAAGCCAAAGTAGCAGACAGTCCCCCCTTTGACAATCAAGCATTTGATGAAGATGAATGTTTCCACCTTATACAGAAAAAAGAACCAATATGGTATATAGTGCGTTATGCAAAACTAGCTAAATGTAAACTACGAAAATGCTCAACTTTATCGTAAGAAAGGGCAAGAACTCCGCAGGCTTGCAGCCCAATCAGACACCGTCTTTACTTGGGAACTCCCTTGTCTGCAGACATACAGGCTGATGGCAGAAAGGGTTCACACTGACAGCTTAATTCATCAGAACTGGTTAGCAAATGCAGAGTTTACCGCCCTGGTAAGTCGACACTGGTCTTACGGCTTCTGGGAGATCGCAGTTGGCTTTATCTGATACTGTGCATTGAATCCGCGTGGGTAGGTGAATCCCCAGTTGCATAATAACCATTTTGGTCCTGAAAGCTAGAAATCTGCTGTTTCCATATTCATAGCACATCTTATCTGCCACGGCTCATTCCTCTGTTTTACATCTCTCTCTCCGTCGGCAAACTCCCTCTCGTCGCCTGAAGCTAAGTGCTATTGACAGGGGTCTGTGGGAAGACCTGGCTCTGTACACACAGCAACCCCGAAGGAGCCGGACCCCCAGCAGCTCCGTAAAGGGATTAACATTCTGGGGGCTTCTGGGGGCTTCGGTACCTGCTAACAGCCTTTCTTTCCTTTTCTTCTCAGAGCGGCGAAGCTTAGTCTCCTTAAGTTACACGGCCTCAGATGTGAGGAAATGCCGGGGAAACCTTTCGTCTATTATGGGATTTTACCCCAAGGTCCAAGGCCGACAGCAACCCTGAACTGATGGACTGCTAATGAAAGCCATTCGAGGCAAACAACTCATTAAACCATTAATCCATCATTCAATTTCCCAAATTTAAAAGTAAATAATAATAAAAGGTAAAGTGGCCTCAGACTGTTTCTCCAAATGGCTTAAATATTAATATACACTAATACAATCCAAAGAGCCTATCTATTTACAGTAAATAGCAGAAAAATATGTAATGGAAAAAACATACTTTCCAAACAGAATAATATTGAGTTTTTTCTTCCTTGTTCCAGTGACCTACTTTTGACCCCTACAATTCCCAGTCATACAATGTGGAGACATCCAACACAGTGCATTTCTTATTAAGCGTAAAATCCCCTGAAATTTCCACCTCCTGAGTGAAACAGCCACCTGTTGAGTAAATGCTGTGTGTTACCGTATAGTACAATGTCAGTCTTGAGGGTTAAGGAGGGAATGCAGACAGATGGGATCTTCTTACTATTGTGTGACATACATAAAGACAGTTCTATACTTTGTTGTTTATTTAACAGTTTTGCATCAAACGCCTCATAAACTGGCTGAAAAATATGCCGATACGATCCCACAGTTGGCAATAAAAAGGGGACTTGCTTCTTCGACCAAATCTGCCTACGGTGTCCAGCCTCTGCTGAAACTTTTACAGAAGATAAACCGTGAAAAGACAGAAGTTCAAAGTGCTGAATGGTTTCCCACCTAGAATTCGGGACAAATGGACGTAGTTAGGCGGCCGTGGGGCTGCTGGCTCTTGTCACTCTTATCTGCACCGCTAACGGTCACCCGGCACCCAGGCGGGAAGCGGCTGTCTGTCAACATAAGGAGCGAGTCATCATCCAATTAGAGAGGCTCATCTCTCTCCCCCTTGTCCCGTCCCCATCCCTGTCCCTCGGATGCACAAAGCTGCTTCGCTGTACAATACTCAGAAGAGACAGTAAACCCCCCCAGCTCTCACACACTTTCATGCAGGTTTAGCAATAGCCCAACCCTGTGGCAAAACGCTGGCTATAAGAGGGTAGGGGCCCCAAGACGATCTATGGTGGGAGGGGGACCTGGGGGGAGGTGAAGAGGAGGGGGGCACTGAGGTGGAATGTCACTCTTTAATGACCCACCCACTGAAGAGGAAGGCCTGCACAGAATCCAGCCTTGTGAAAGAACAGGCTTGGTTGTTAGTGAAAGATCACACCATAATGGCTGCTTCCTGATGTATGCGTCCTGCCGACATGGGGTCAACCCCAAGGCTCTTTGAAGTGACAGGAGATCTTAGTGGTCACTGCAGCACCAGCGGAAGGACCCCAGTACAGGCCCCATGTGTCGGTAAAGGCTTCACTCAATAGCTATAAGACTACTGACAGCTTATTGCTGGTGTTCTTGTTTGTGGCCTTTTAATAAGATCTTTAAGATTTACCAGTCATCCCGCCACAATGTAACCATATAATACCAAGCAAGCAGGTAAAAAAGTTGCAGATTGTTATTATTGTCGTTCTTGTTGTTTGCTGAGCAAACTAACAGCAACATTTTCATCTAATCTAATGGCTGCAGCTTTAGCTCAGCTAAAGTACCTTACTCTAGCAAATGTAAACACAACATCTGAACCAGGAAAAGTACAGTGGCTCAGTTTCCAGCTGTTAAACATTAGTCGTACTATTGAATTTAAGATAAAAGATTAAGATAAATATTAACTCTCCTGTTACTTGTTTGATGACTTTTGCTAAAAATGTAAGAAATAAAGTCAAGCGAACTGCTTGAGCTTGAGACATTTTAATGACTGTCAGGAAATGTAGTTTAGTATAAGGAGGAAAAAGCTAAGGAACCGCCACTCTCACACACAAACAGACTCACATGGGTGCACCCTGAAGGCGATTTACCAATTAGCATGAGAGGAAGGTCCTTGAGCTGGGGGAAGAACCAAAATTACCTGCAGGAAACTATGCAAATGGCGGGAAAGATAAAACACATTGGAAAAAGATGCACCCTATTTCCCCTCGCCCGTCCCGCAACGGGATCGAGCCAGGCGGCGTCTCGAGAGCCAGACACCTCTTTGCACGCTATGGCGAGGTGGCCGCTGATAACGCCTAACAGAGCAGCCTTTCAAAGGACCTCTCACTTCCTGTGTTGTACACTTCACATTAGCTGCTCTGCTGTGGTTAGTCCCGTTCTGTAGCCACGCAGCCTGCAAGTCATTGCCGGCCCATCCGAAAGCACTCGCGGGTGTTGTTTTGTTTTGGTTGAACGTAAAGAGGATAATTCCTTCCGTAGCTCAGAGATCAAGCTTTTGCGCAATCTAATAAGCTAGACTGAGATTTAATGGAAACCAGTGGCCCGCAACAGATGGAAAACCGCTAAATGTAATTATTTGCATTGGAGAAGTACCCCCCCCCCCCCGTAGCTCGGCCCACACCATATATAGAATAACCAGAGATCTGAAAGCATGAGCTGAGGTCCAGGTTTGGTCTACATACTGCAGAATTACAAATGAACTGAGCAGGGAAACAAGACTTTCTAAGGTGAATAGGTTATCATGCAGGATTCCCCAATTCCGTGCCTGGAGGTCAGAATCCAACACAGTTTACAGGTTTCTTTGTAGAACCACATCTGACTCAGCTAATTATCAGGTCTAATAGGTGTGTCTGAGCAGAGAGATCTGCAAATGGGTCTTCCAGCACCGGAATTAGGGAACACTGGTATAAAGTACTTATACATTGAAGTTTAAACATAGATCTTAGTATTACATACACATTGTTGTATCAACCTTCCAGCAATTTTCATTGCTTACATTTTTACATTTAATAACATGTGCTGCTGTGTTTCACAGCAGGCGATATGTCAGTACTTCTCAGTGACATGGTAGGTGTCATATATACCAAAAAGCGTAATAAAATCCCTCAGATTCCCAAGCTTTTGGCAGTGTACACTGCGGTCTGTAGTCGTATGTAGACGCCCTTCCTTTGAGGCAACGCTGAAACACCCACACCTAGCGAGCAGGAACAGATGCCGACATATAAAACGCTTCTGAACTAGCCGACGTTCATCTGAGCCCAAAGCAGCAGGGATTCCGCACGTGGCCAAGGCGTCTCCACGCAGACCTTTATCCCGCAAGGTCATTATCACACACGCAGCGTCAGATTTGTTTACACGTAAACATCACACGCTGCGGAGATAGTGAAGTGGTGTGGGGGCAGAAGGAAGATTGATATCTTCAACTCATTACATGCATCCATAATAAATGCATATTTGTTCAGTCAGACCAGATGGTGCAGTAAGGTTCATTTTTCTTATTGAGTTTTATTATTAAGAAAAGGTCACTTTCGGAGATCCTGCCAAACAAAGCAATCTTAGCTACCTCACCAGTAAGGAGCCCTACTTCACATTTGCTTAATATAGCAAAAACGCTGAAAATAACTAGTGCCATCCAAAGGCAATCAAAGGCTGTCTGAGGCCAAAGCAGTCATGCCCGCGCATGGCTCTAGTGGGCGTCCTCCCTGGGTGCCGTGTGAGTAACGCCGTGTCGAGTGTGCGTGTGTGTATATGTGCGTCTGCCCTCCAACAGTCTGACCCTGCATCCAGCCCGCTAAAGGCTGCGTTTCACACTGACGAACACCTCGTAAAACACGTGACAGTGCTCCTGGGGCTCCCGGTGCTGCTGGGGCTCGCCAATGGAAACCTGGCAGTTCGGAATTACGACGATAGCCTTTGTATGTTCCGTATAGCGAGAGAAAACCATCAGGCCTGCATTGATCTCGGTGCATGCGATACACCACGTTACAGCTGCGGTGCTTTAACATTACACCTACACAGCTTCGAACTATGGCCCATCAGATTGGTCTTCGTGGGACTAATATATTCCCCCACAGCAAACAAACATGTTCTACGTCGGCGGCAAAGTTAACGCAAACTTACCGATGCAGGCGTGAACTCTGACCGAAAGCTGTGTCCGCAGGACGATACTGTGCTTCTTGCCTCTCCTGCAAGACACAGTGATACTTCTTATTTACATCCATTTTCTTACCCGCTTTCATATAGAAAAAACACAACAAAACAAATTTTGTTTGCAAAGCAGATGAATAAGAATGGGATATGTGATTTTGTTTACAGTCCTACAGTGAAAACGATAATCTTATTATGTGATTATGTGCCTGACAGTACACAGTTTGTAGTGCCGTGGATTGTTTTTAAGCCGGTAATCTATTTTTTCATTGAGCTAAAACCCAAATTGTGGTTTGTTAACTTTGGGTCCTTGTTAAGAAAGAGCAGGGAATAAAGGAAGAGGGGAAGCCCGGCAGTGGTCTTTGTTGAGGCAGGTCCTGGACTCGGAGTGGTCTTTGTTGAGGCAGATCCTGGACTCTGAGCCCTCATAACCTCAAACCCAGGGAAAGCTGAGGTGTAGATACACTCAAAGGGGCTCTTTCCAAGTGTTACATCTCTATGATCACTCTGAGATCAGCAGTCACAAGCAGGCTAAGACAGGTAGCAGAGCTAGCGAGAGAAAGAGAGAGTGCGGGACGTAGAAATGGAGAGAAGGAAGGACAGAGAAGGAGAGAGATGACTGGAAGAAATGATCCCTTATCCCAGGCAACTTGTTAACATTCTTCTTCCATTCTACTCACTGGTATTTATTCCATTTCAGACAGGAATTCTGAAGCTCTATGGTGAGCAATGACTGAACTCAAAAATAAACTTGGGCTAATCCCAACAAAAGAGGGCACCCAGCTTCCCTTTCTGACCTCCAGCACGAGAAACGGTGACCAATGACCCTGCTAGGGACCAGGCAGAATACCTAGGGCTGAATAGTGGGTTGAGTGTCCCAGCCATGTGCAGGTAGCCAAGCTTACGGCGATTACCCAGTGGCTTCACCCACACTTGCTATGCTAAGCGGCTTTAGATAACAGTTCATGTCTGGAATACAAAGAATAGCTAATTAACTCTGACCCATAAAGGTGTGCTTAACAGCACCAAAAGGAGGCTGTGAGAACTGTACAGGGCTGATATGACCTACATTCACTGCGTCGTAACCTGCAGTGGTGATGTTTGTCCCAATAAATGGAAAGAGCCACCCCAACCAAACCCGCTCTACCAGCCAACAAAGAGTAGAGGAGGGCTTCCATCCCCAGGCATGACCATGCGGCCCCGGCGAAGACCACATCGTGCAACAGGCCCCACGAGATCCTCATGACACGGAAAGTCACACTGGTGACTTTGTGCTGGTGTCCTCTCAGATCTGCGGGTCCGAGAACACTGTGCAGTCGTGGTGCGATTCGCCCGGCGCATTACGATCTGTCGAGACCCGTGGTTCCAGCACAACCACGAAAAACGTCGGTCACACCACGCTGACGAAACCTTAAATCGAAACAGCCAGCCGCCGCTTCCAAGTTGCCGTGTGACGGAATGGAACCTAATCCTCTGCCAGTTGGAAGGAATCTGCAATTTAAGGCACCGTTCGTTAAGGTCCTGCTCAGTCCACTAGCAACCCTATCCCTGATACAGAGCATGACGCAAGCATAAACTTTAATTTAATTTGCTATGTGTATACAGGAGAGAAACCAAGGCCTCAAACGCAGAGTATAAATCAGACTCGCTCATAATTTTTTGGATTACCTCTATAATTAAAAAAAGAAAAAAAAATACAGTTTACTCAAATTTATATCACTAAGTCTGTGGTATATAGTTACAATTACGCTGCCAGGAGATCTTGTTTTAATGTATAGTGAAGATGTGGGGTGGATTTAGTCCAAGACTGGAGCTGCTTGATTCTCAGAAGCCTCATAAGTAGGGTCATTCCATAAGAGAGAGTCATTCTATACTTCTGTGAAGGGGCAGTAAAACTCAATGGACAGCATGCTGAAAACACGGCTTGGAGTTAAAGACCCCCAAGGAACGTCACAGTATCCTGTACAGCTAATGTCCCCTCTACGGCAGGCAGCTATTTATGCCCTCTCACTGAGGATAACCCGCTAAACTTTTAAAAATTATTATTATGTTTTAACCCCTGAAAGTAGATTAACATCAGCAATATCACGCGGCCTTTTGGTTTAGGAGTCTCGGGAGTGAGGCGGCCTTCTCCTGCCTGGGATATATACCTCTCCAGACTACTTGTGCAGATGGGAGAATTGAATTACCAACACAAATAGGCGCTAGCTCACGCAGGATCGCCGAAATCCGACTCCAGTCCGAAAGCGAATGGAGCACCGTTGACGTCATGCGTTTGCGCAGCGTAGAAAATTACGAACTCGGCGCCGGGTTAAACGTTTGAGAAGAAAAAAGGGGCCGTCCATCCTCATCCAACGGACCCAAGCGCAGGCAGCATGCGTCGCCGCATGAAAACATTGTGATGATTCAAGAACAAACTTCTGAAACTCACTTAATCCACGCGATAGGTTTTCAAGAAAATTCATGCCGACTTTGGAAATTTATTATAAGTTCTTAGATTACACGACGACTGAGTGAGCTTTGGTTCCCTGTAACACATGACGAAGAAGCGCAAAACAGGAGGACAGAGGACACTAGTGATCTAATGCACCTTCAGGTTTACGATACAGTCTCATGTTTACAACCATTGCATAACTTTAATGCTGCTATTTACAAGTGCAATAGGTGAAACGTGCAATATGTTAAAACTATAGGGTATGACTGTTTTACTGTGCTGGTCTGTTTGTTTATTTATTGGATTTACAGTCAAACCTCGGATTGCAATTAACTTGGTCTGCGAGTGTTTTGCAAGATGAGCAAAAATTTTAAATTAATTTGAACTTGATAAACGAGCGAGGTCTTGCAATGCGAGTATTACGTATACGCTTCGTCTGCCGAGTGTCACGTGATCACAACTGAGCCGATGGTTCTTCTCTCTCTCTCTTGCTGTGGGATTGTGGGTAATCGTTGCCCATGCTCGGTCTCGGTCGGCGTGCCTCACTTGTATAGTCAAAATATAGCAGAAAAGCACCACCCAAATAAGGGCATAGCAGTGCGAGCGAAAATGTTTAACGAAAATGCAATATCCACATTTCTGCAAAATCGAAAAGAAGGCAAAAGCGGCTGTCATTGGATAGGTTCCTTGTTAAAGTCGCACAAAAAGAAAACGATTTCAGTGACCCAACAGACAGCAGTGATTCCTTTAGTTATAGTGAAAGTCGTCCTACAAAATAACCCTCCTCTTCTCCTCTCTCTCGTCTCCCTCACACCATCCACGATTCTTTTCGAAGGTAAAGTGCAGGTTAATTTGTTTAATGTACTTTTACTTTATATTTTGTATTAATCATTTTTATATAAATATTTTTGGGTTGTGGAACGAAACATCTGAGTTTCCATTATTTCTAATGGGACAATTTGCTTTGACGTACGAGTGCTTTGGATTACGAGCACGTTTCTGGAACGAATTATGCTCGCAATCCAAGGTTTTACTGTATTTTGTTTTATTGTTACTAATTTGTCTATTGTTTTGATGTTGTGACACTGGAGAGGATGCACTTTTAAGTTTCGTTGCTGTGGAAACATCAATGACAATATAGCATCTGATTCTGATTCTGGTTCTGGTTCTGGTTAGCACTGTTGCCTCATACCTCTGGGACCAAGGGCTCCGTGTGTGTGGAGTCTGCATGTTCTTTCGTCATGCAGTTTCTTCCCGGTTCTCCGGCTTTCAAAAACACACTAACACTGGAGTTGCCAAGTTGTGAATGTGTGAGTGCCCAGCGATGGGTTGGCACCCTGTCCTGGGTTATTCCCTGCATTGTGCCCAGCGATGGGTTGGCACCCTGTCCTGGGTTATTCCCTGCATTGTGCCCAGCGATGGGTTGGCACCCTGTCCTGCATTATTCCCTGCCCTGCACCTGTAGCATCTGGGATAAACTCTAGATGCCTGTGACCCTGCATAAGACCAGCGGGTGACGGAAATGGGTGACACAGAAGTGTGTTCATTGGCAGCTTCATCTCAGAAATAACAAAAAATAGGACTGAGTTTTAGAAAATTCAATCAGCGGGGGGTGGGGGAGCTTCCTCAGAGTGAATCCCACGTCCAGCGCTCACCAGCTCCTCATGAGACACCTGGGCTCCCGCCTCCCGCTCACAGACAATCCTGAGGGTCTTCTGGCTCCTCAGCACTCAGCGGGCTGTGAGCGCAGGAGTGTTAGGGAAGGAACAGCAGAAAAATCAGCATTCCTGACACGAAGCCAACGTGAGGCTGTGGATTAGCCAACGTAACCCCCGTCATCGCAAACCGGCTTTGACACCAGCCAATTACGTAAAATGACAAAGCATCTGTTAAAATTATACTCAGGAATCTTATAAGCACTCTGAAACGGTACTCAATATAACTCATAAGAAGATCAGATATGATCTATTGTAAAAAAGACACTTTTGCTGCCTAGCCAATAGAATGGAAGAGCCCAGGTTTTGACCCAGAGACATAATTTTTTTTTACCTGAATATGTGTTTGTATCGAGTCACTCTATTTTCCTTTTATGTTCCCGGAGGAATCTGATAAATCCAGCACAGAGACTCAACTCAGGCACAGAGACGCTAATTAAAACAGAGCGCGCTGGGAAATCAAACAGAAACGCCGAACTTCAGCTTATTAAGCACCGGCGGAGGCCTAAAAAAAGGCCGAGTTATCAATCAAAGGGAGGCAAACATTCGCAGGCCTTCATAGCGATGAAGGTCATTCAGTCAGCAGACAGGGCTGCGTGACGCAACGCCCGAATATCTCGTGGCACGGAAAATGGACCGAAATGGGCTTCTCTGACTCAGCATCCGACACAGTTTACGGCCTCAGCAAAAAAAAAAAAACAAAAAAACAAAGAAACCTCTCGGGATTGTGAGTCTCGGCGCGTCCATATCGTTAAAACGCTTCAGACAGTGTTACCCCGTTATTACCAATAAGACCAGACCCCTTCATTCCTCATCTTTTTTTTCCTTCTCAGGCTCTGCACGGATTTAATGACAAACATTTGCGGCGAGCCCAGCCATTTGGCACCAGGGAGACTCTGGCGTTCCCGGCTCTCCGAGATTCTGCTCGGACCCGGCGGCTCCAGCTGGAACAGGAAGCCTGAGTCTCGGAGCAGCGCGCTCCAGAGCGACATTCACACTTCTCCTCGAGTTTGACACAGAAGCAGTTATCTGACCTCTTTATAATGGAAACAATATGGATGGGGAGCAGCCCGGTATCCCGCGTCTAAAATTACACACCCGTGTGTCGGCCAGCCGGCCGGGTCGGTGATCCCACGCCGTGACCTCAAAGGGAACGGGAGACAGCTCTGACAGCATCACAATCTACACAGGCAGACTCTGGTTACCGTGTCGCTACCCCATCCTGGCAAACCGAGGGCCATCGTCTTCACAGACAGCTGAGACATACGGCCCACGCACATACGAAAAGACGTTAAAATTCCCGTAAGGTTTTCCTTAGAGCCCTTAAAGACTGAACGCGATTTTTCCCCCAAATTACAACTGATGAATGGTCGAGGCATATTGTTTTTATGGCTCATGACTGATGGAAAAAAAAATTAAAAGCAGGTTCTCTGCCTTCCCCATCTGAAATAATGGGCAAAAAATACTGTTCCTGATACAAGAATTGGGGCAGTATGTGTTTTGAGAATCAACATGCGTTGATTACAGCTAAACTGCCACCTAGTATTGTTTAGCTGATCACTATCCTGCTATGTCGGCCATAGTTCATTTCTGGGCTTAAAAAAATCGGGAATATTTTGAGCCACTGAACCACTGAATGTCCAGCATAGGGTCACAGTGAGCCTGGAACCTAATGTACGAAGCACAGGACACAAGGCAGGGCATACGATCCAATCCATCACAATAAACATTCAAGGCAATTTAAACAGTGTAGGCTATTTATAAATGCCAGTACACCTAACTGCATCTCTTTGGGCTGTGGGAGGAAACTGGGGGACCTGGAGGAGACCCTCGCAAAAGGCACCAGGGATGCTGGCTGACACTGCTCTCTGTTACTGCTCTCTGACACTGTTCTCCAACACTGCTCTTTGACACCGCTCTTTGTTACTGTTCTCTGACACTGTTCTCCAACACTGCTATTTGACACCACTCTCTGTTACTGCTCTTTGACACTGTTCTCCAACACTGCTCTTTGACACCGCTCTTTGTTACTGTTCTCTGACACTGTTCTCCAACACTGCTATTTGACACCGCTCTCTGTTACTGCTCTTTGACACTGTTCTCCAACACTGCTCTTTGACACCGCTCTCTGTTACTGCTCTCGGACACTGTTCACCAACACTGCTCTTTGACACCGCTCTCTGTTACTGCTCTCTGACACTGTTCTCCAACACTGCTTTTTGACACCGCTCTCTGTTACTGCTCTCTGAAGCTGGCTGACCGTGCTCTCTAATGCTGCTCTCTAATGTTGCTCTCTGACACTGCTGTCTGACATTGGCTGAACCTGCTCTCAGACGCTGGTTGATGTTGCTCTGTGACTCTGCTCTCTGACATTGCTCTCGGACACTGATATCTAATGCTGTTCTCTGATGCTGCTCTCTGACACTGCTCTCTGACATTGGCTGATCTTGCTCTCAGAAGCTGGTTGATGTTGCTCTGTGACTCTGCTCTCTGACCCTGCTGTCAGATCTTGATGTGTGTGTTGCTTTGCAAAAAAGTTTCTGCTAAATAAATGTATTATGTCATGATAAATATGAATGTTTCAGTAGTGGTCAGCTACGCCAAAAACAAGGCTGATACAAGGGGCAGCCTGATAGGCTTGTTTATTAGGCAAGACTGGCCAACAAATTCACAGACCGAGCGACTAAACATCTGAATCGGGGGGGGCAGCGGGGCCCTGCCTCACAGAATTCACATCTGTCCTCCAGTGCACATTCTGCACCTTGCATTTCTCCTATGTCTTCTGACCCTGTGATGTTCCTGTCAGAGCCAGATAACTTATCAGTCTGCTCATACTGAAGTGCTTCTCTTTTCAGCTGGGTACACACAGCATATATTTCTGCAAATAAAGTCTTGCATAAACTTGAGTTCACATTTAGGACCAGAATCACTGGACGCAAGTCAATTTGAGAGTCTCTCGATATTGTAGCTGTGCATCACGTGTGTATTCCTGTATGCATACAGTTAGATATGGACAGCGGGTCATTATACGGCTGGCGGTGGTGACCACCCTCCAGCTCCTGCTACACTCAGCGATACAGCCGCTCATGTCGCTACGTCGAATTTCAAGCATCGATCCATCACTGTATATTGTTTGCTATGGAACCTGGACGTAAATGCGACTGGACGCCACTCGATGAGGCATAACTCGACACAACACTGTCCATGTGCTTCTCACCAGTCTGAGGGCAATAAACACCCAGAAGATACTTTCTACAGGTAAAGCATCTGCAGCTAACAGCTCTTTCTTTGACTTCCAGGTATGCTGTCCTTACAATGCATACAACTTCAACCAAACCTGCATTAAAGGACATGGAAAAAATGATCCAAAAATGTTCCATCAATTCATCCATCTATTTTTTTATATTGGCTTGTCCTATGCAGGGTCCTGGGGTTCTGGAGCCTATTCTGGACGCTACATGTGCAAGGCAGGGAATAACAGAGGATGGGGGGCCAACCAATCGCAGATGATTCAATTTATTTAAAAAAATAAAAAATATTAGATGTGAATGCCCTGCAATGGGCTGATGTCACATGTTTCCTGTGCATCCTGGGATAGGCTCCAGCTCATCATGACCCTGTGATGGATTAAACGTGAAATGAAGTCTTTAGATCTGCAAGCCCAATGCTCCAGCACCAAGAACACAGGTGTGAGGCTAGTGCCACGAAACAGTAGTGCAGAGATGGGCATGTGTGTGACGTTAATCAGCAGACGGCCGGGTGGCGTCGTGCCTGCAAAGCGATGGCGCTGGCTATCACTGGCCAGTAAATATTAACGAGCACATCTCTGCAGGAGAGTGCGAACTGGGGCCCGCATCTGGACACCTGGAATTCAGCTGGGCCAGGAAAGGCCTCCCTTATGAAGACACACACACACACACACACACACACACACACAGAAGCGTTCAGCCAAAGGCACAAGTCTTCATTCCAAGACCTCCAATCTCTTTGTTACGGAGGCCGATCCCACATCCCAGCTCCTGGGAACCATAACACGGCTCCATAAAGGTTAAAATATAACAGGGTAACAAACGCTACCATATAGTGTATTATAATTAATGTGTTACCCTCAGCACTCTGAAGATGAATGGATTTAATGAATATATACATACCGTATATACCACTGTAAATACCAGGACTATTCTAATCGCAGTCCTCATGCTCCAAGCATTGCTGATCTTCCAGCCTTCCTTTACCTGTGAGCCAGCTGAGAAGCCTCTGGCCAATCAGAATCAGAAATCATTGAACTAACTTCCTGGGAGAACTGAAAACACGGCCTAGATATCGAACCAACGTCCGGATTTGAAGAGTCCTGGTATATACCCTTAACACGAACGAAAACTGCGATCATGAATCCTGTATCAGAAAGAAATTCATGGTTGGAGGGAAATTTTTTTTGCCTTGCTCAGAACAAGTGCTAAATTGTTTCTGCATACAAATATTTCCAAACCTGTCCTTCCGGGCCGTGCTCCTCGGCGTTTCAGCCACAAAGGCTGCTCGTGCGTCGGTCAGACATGAGCCACGGGCGGAGGACCACGTTCGCACACGCACCCATCCCACCCGAGCTTCTCGCTTCAGTGTCTGTCCCCTTTACTGTCAGCCCGGAGGGCGCCAGGCGGAGCTAATGGATTCTTACCCGCCACCGTCCTCCTGAAATCCCTCCAGTTCATCTCGCTGCTCCGCCAGGCTGGATTCCAGATCCAGGTAGGTGCCACTGTGGGAGAGCTGGAGAGCGCAGTCATCGAGCTGCGGAGAGCAGGGGGACACGTCACGCCTCAGCGAACAGGAAGTGCAAAACGGGCGCAAAAACAGCACGAAATTCAAATGTAAACACAACACAATGTCATTAAAATATAATGAATCAGTTAGTATACGGGAATACAGACCAAGACAGCACACCACTGTGCTTTTTATAGTTTATTTTTACTTCTTCATTTGTATATTATGCGTAATTAAGATAAGTTTACACATATGTGATGCAGGTGAAGAAATTGTAATAGCTCGTGTATTCTCAGTGATTTGAGCAACGATCCGGCAGACCGGTGACTGGCAGCGGAGAAAAGCACGATCAAACAATCGATCAATCCTGAATTTGAAATTGCACATTTTCCCAACAAAGTTACATCATGGTGGTTTTCCAGAATGTAAAAAAAAAAAATCAGGCAAAAAAAGGCAGAAATACAGATTACAGATAAAACTATAATGTTTCCTTTAGGTTAATTAGAAACATATTTACAAGTATAATCCAGAAAAAGCTGTAAGATCTGTCAGAGCCCATCTCACACAGCATCACAGGTTTGTCGAGTTCAGTCCTGGGGGTGGAAGGTCGGGAGTAACAGCGGCCCCAGAGAGCACGACTGTTGCACTACGGCACGACTGTTGCACTACGGAGTTGGGTTGTGTATCTACGGCAACTGCATCGAGCACGACGACTACAACAGCAAGGCCTTACGCACCCATTATAGCTCTGCTCTGGAACGTTGTGGAAAAAAAACAAAACAACACCAACCATCAGTGTGCCCGACTGGGGACCCATTGATGTGACCGTGAAGGCCTCCATCCATAGGCACTAGGGCACTGACTAAGCCATCTGACCAGGGACACAGAGAGTGGGAGAATATAAATTTAACAGTGTTTCAGGGACTCTTACAAATTGGTAGTTCGATTCAAAAGAGCCCCGCTGGGAGAACTGGGCGAAAGCCAGTAAAAGGAGCAGAGCAAAGGGTGCCGAATCTGCTTTGGCTGGGGCGAATGCCACCTATTCAGTATGTTTAACCACTGGCACTAAATGGCCACTTTGGGCTCAAATGGAGAAAACAAAGGAAGAGGCAGGCGGAGAGAGAGGGAGAGAGAGAGAGGGAGAGAGAGAGATAAAGAAGACAGAATCTGAGGAGTCAGAACAGCGGGATAAGAGATTCATCCACCACCCAGCCTCCTGTTCTCAGGCAGGACTGCCGACTCTCACGCATCTGGCGTGACGCTCACGCGATCAGACTCCCACGCCCACGCAAGAAATCTTACAGCAAATATATATTATTCCATTATAAACCTAAAATTAGCTACAGCAAAAGGGCAGTTTGCAAACCCTACAGACTATTTACATGTACATGTAAATGACTGTGCAGATTTGTGTGGGATTGAAAATCTCACGCCGGCCAGCTGACCAAAGCTGTGGCACAACAGTCACAGGAAACACACACTTCAGATTCACTGTAACAAACAGCCGAGGACTTTCAAAAAACAACTAACTAAATCGCCCGCAGTGGCCCCCGCGACCCTCCTGGAGGAAGAAATTCCCAAATGGTTGCTTAGGAACAGCCCAAACGTGTTACATGAATCAGGAAAATTTCAGAAACATGCCACATTCAAAAATATACACAAATGGAAATATTTACATATTTATTTTGTTTCCCTATAAATTATGTCTTGTTGTTACCCGCTAGAAAACCCTTATCTGACCATTCCCCGAATCCAAGCTCCTCGGCCAAATTATCTGGACAGACTTTTTTCTTTCTCCATGGAAAACTGCCCTCAATTTTCCATAAAAGTGTCTGTCAGCTTCGGAAGTTTCTCCCCCCGTTAGGCCAAGCTAAGCCGCACCTGCAGAACTGGATTACCCAGCAGCATTAGGGAGCTCACAGTCATTCCGGAAGCTTCTGGAAGCAATACACATTGAGAGCCTAAATCTGATTCATGGTAGTTTCGTCCAAAAAAAAAATAAAAAAAAATCCCAAAAATACAGTTAACAAAGCTGCATAAAAGCTCCATTATATTTGACTGGTCAAAAACCAAAAGTGTTTAAGTGGAAAAACAGCATGAAATACACATTTTTCATCACAACTGCCCTTTCCGGTATCTTGACATGTTGATACAAAAATAATGAATATGACTCATTTAATTTAATTGTAATTAATTTGTTTTTCAGCAGGAATAGTGGGAGAGAATTTCGAAGGAAACAAACAAGGTATGAGAAACTCCAGAGCATGCTAAAGTCATTCTGGAAGAGAAGGACCTGCTCCGCTCACCATCACGTTCAGCCCCTGTAAAGACCCACCCCCCTACTACAACTTACAGAAAAGGGGGAGGGAAATGGACCCTGCTCACCGGTAAAGTCATTATGGGATGAGGTGCTTTGATCTCCAAACCCACTTCATTTGTCTTTGGGAGTTGCTGCGGAGCCCCAGGGCTGCGTAACGGCGGAATGCCGAGATGCAGCATATGGTGAGGCAGAATGACACTGGCCAGACGGCCCGCGTTGCTTATTCTTACTGGGAAATGAAACAACATGATTCCTGCCTCCACGTCAACACTCCTATTGCTGAGCTTATCCTGCCCAGGTCTCTCAGGTTCACAGCTGGAATTCGGACCCGCACCACTGGAGGAGGGAGTGGAGACATGAAGGGTCACGTTTTGCTGATGAGGGGTGTGTTTATCTGGCACTTTTAATGAATTTATTTATGATATAAGTTATTATTTAATATGTTGGCTATTTCATATTTAATCAATTAATAAATGTAGACTGGTTCTAGGTTCCTTCATCATGAACCTGATCAGGATAAGTAGCTGAAAGAAGGATGGATGGATGGATGGACGCATAAAGGAAAAAACAGGTCTGTAGTTCCACAGGAGGTTCAGATACTGAATAACTGCGGCTTGGCACAGGATGTCCAGCGGTGCTGAGGAGCAAAGACGGTGAGACCCTCTCCCCATTCAGAGCGGCCGGCAGGTGCGGGTGAATGAGCTGATTCTGCAGGGAAACCCGAGACGCCTCAGGGCAGGGCTTCCTCGCCCAGCAGCACAAAGGAGTGGGAGCTCAGCCTTGGGAAAAGCAGGATCAGCGGGCCCCCGCCGGGCCCCCACCGGGCCCCCGCCGGGCCCCCGCCCAGCCTTATTTAAGAAAGGGGGTTTTGGCTGATCGCAAGACCCATCAGCGACTGACGGAGAATCCAGACGCGAGGCCAAAGATAGCCGGGCTAAATTTAAAGGCCAGCGGCTCGCATGTCTCAGCAAGGTGCAGAACAGGGGGGGTCACAGGAAACAGACGGGGGGGGGGGGGGGGGGGGGG